GGCTTCTGTAATTGCTACAAAGCTTCTAGGAGGAAGGGCACAGCTGGGGAATTAAACAGTAAGTGGCTGATTTCTATAATAAACACCTGACACAATCATTGCAAAAGGGTCCTATTTGTCTGTCAGAACATATTTAATGTTACTACTTTTATTTAGAGCACATTTTCAAGGCCAGCACCTGTATATGTCATTACCCCATTCTGAGTCTAAATGAAATGTACATTTGCATGATTTCTTTCAGTTTCCTGCTTTTCTTTGATTTAAAGGCTAAGTTCACCCTTTAAAAAAAAATAATACATGTACATACTTTTGCAGGTAAAAAAAATGTGGATTTATTATTTTTTTCTCTAGAGCCTGCAGAGCATTGTACACGTAATCAGCAGATTGCAGATGCAATGTCAGGCTCCTGCAGAATCTCAGTATAGCTGTCTGCCTGTACCTCCTATATCAGTGTTGTGTTAAGGTGCAGTGTTGTGTTAAGGGGTGATATGTTGTGTTAAGGGGCGCTGTGTTGTGATAGGGGTGCTGTGTTGTGTTAGGGGCACTGTGTTGTGTTAAGGGGTGATATGTTGTGTTAAGGTGCACTGTGTTTTGTTAAGGGGTGCTATGTTGTGTTAAGGTGCACTGTGTTGTGATAGGGGGTGCTGTGTTGTGTTAGGGGCACTGTGTTGTGTTAAGGGGTGCTATGTTGTGTTAGGGGCGCTGTGTTTTGTTAAGGGGCACTGTGATGTAAAGGGGGGCAGTGATGTGAAGGGGAACTGAGGACACTGTGGGACTTCTTTAGAGGAGACTGTGTTGTAGGGGGACTGCAGTGTAAAAGGTAGGCTAAAGATGATAATGTACCGTGGACTGTGATGTGTTATATCGCTAACGTGATTCGGACCTCTGCTGGAAAGATATTTTGCTGACTGGACCTCCGTAAATTTTAATTCAAGACCCCAGCCTATATAGTCATTGGATGCTGGAGAACAGGAAGGGTAATGAACTATGAGAGTGTTCACCAGCACCTTTGCAGTTCATTGAGAACTACAAGCTGTCTGCCTCAATGGTAGATGGTAGTGGTAGTTAATTCATTCACAGATCACTGTGAATGAATGAAGCAGCTGTGTGGGCAGAGCCCTGCATGGCTTTCCTTTTTCTAAAATTGTTACAGGTGGTGCAGGGAAAAGATCCCCCACCCAGTGTCACATAAATATGGGTGTAATATGTAATATGCAACCAACTTATCTTTTAAATGGATATCGTTACAAAAGAAAATGCCTGCATAAGAAACATAAGATTGGGTTGTCCACTCTCAGACTCCCAGACAATGCTATTCCCAGGGCTTTGAAGCTGAATCCATATATACAGTATCTCCCAGAAGTGAGTACACCCCTCACATTTTTGTAAATATTTGATTATCTTTTCATGTGACAACACTGAAGAAATGATACTTTGCTACAATGTGACATAGTCAGTGTACAGCTTGTATAACAGTGTAAATTTGCTGTCCCCTCAAAATAACTCAACACACAGCTATTAATGTCTAAACCGCTGGCAGCAAAAGTGAGTACACCCCTAAGTGAAAATGTCCAAATTGGGCCCAATTGTCCCCAGTAGCATGTGACTCGTTAGTGTTACAAGGTCTCAGGTGTGAATGGGGAAGCAGGTGTGTTAATTTTGGTGTTGTCGCTCTCACTCTCTCATACTGGTCACTGGAAGTTCAACATGGCACCTCATGGCAAAGAACTCTCTGAGGATCTGAAAAAAAGAATTGTTGCTCTACATAGAGATGGCCTAGGCCAGGGCTCAAAATTTCAAGTCCTGAGCTACTAGCCAGTCCTTAAGTGTTACTCGCCACCAGTTGCAACACCCAACCCTTACCCTGCTACACCCCTAATTCCGCCCCTAAACACACCCTTGTAAATTATCCCATGAAATGACACTGTTACATGTTACCCACATTACATCAGGGTCCCCAGAGTCCCCCCACATTACATCAGTGTCCCCAGAGGCCCCCCACAATGCATTGGGCTCTCTAATGTCCCCCTGAACACTCCATCATACTTAGACCATGCATCGCATACAACCATAACTCCCCATAATCTTTCACTCACAAAACCATAACTCTACCAAGCATATCCTACCTACTATCCAACCCAGCAACCGCAAATGTCCCATACTCTACCACCCATAATAACCACATAATCCTGAGCCTGACCAAACCTCCCATACATGTATGTTTACACACAGACACATACAGAATCATGTACACACATGCACAGAGACACATGTACACAGACACATGTACACACACAGACACATACATGTACAGACACACACGTACAGACACATGTACATACACACCACAGAGACACATGTACACACACAGATACATGTACATACACAGACACATACACATACGTATATACACACACACAGATACAGTCACAGGTACATTTACATACACACACATATACATACACACAGACGCATGTACATACACACAGACGCATATACATACACACAGACGCATATACATACACAAATACATACGTACATACTCATGTACACACATACATGTACATACACACAGACACATTTACATATACACAGACACATGTACTCACATACATGTACGTACACAGAGACATACATATACACAATACATACATGCACACACGTAAAAATACACATACACACAGACACAAAAAAACATACACACACGCACACACAAAAAAATACACACAGACACATGTACATAAAATACACACACACAAAAAATAACAAAAAGACACACACAGATACAATACACACACAAAGATACATACACACAGACACATGTAAAAACACACAACACACACAACAAACATATACAACAGCCACTTGCAAAAACAACAACTCAAAACACAAAAACACAGATATAACACAAAAAAACACAAACACACAAACAGCTAAAAAAACACACACACAAACAAAAACACAGATAAAAAAAAACACAAAACACATGTACATGCACACACAAAAAAAAAAAACACAAAAAAAACAAAAAACCCACATGTAAAAAACAAAAAATACAAACACAAGACAAAAAACACACATACATGTACATACACACAAACACAAAAAAACACACAAAAAAAACAAAAAAAAAAAACAAAACAAAACAAAAAAAAAAAAAAAAAAAAACAAAACAAACAAAACAAAAAAACAAAAAAAAAAAACACAAAAAAAAAAAAAAACACACAAAAACATGTAAAAAACAACACAAACAAAAAATAAATAAAAAAAAAAAAAAAAAAAAACATACACAAAAAAAAACATACAAAACAACACAAAACACATGTAACAAAAAAGACACACAAAAAAAACACAAACACACGCAAACATAAACACACAAAACAAATAAATACACACAGAAACATGCAAAAACAAAAACAAAAAATACAAAAAAAATATATGTATAAAAACACACAGACACAAAAAAAATACACAGACACATACACAAAATAAATGTAAACAAAAACACAACAAAAAAACAAAAAAAACAACACACATGCACATATAACACAGACACTTGCACAAACGCACACACACACACTCACATACACACAGAAAAAACACACACACTACACACAAAAAAACACACACACACACACACACACACACACATACATACACACATGTACATACACACACATACACATAGACACACACATGTACATATGCAAAAATACAAACACACAAACACATGTACATACACACACACAGATACATACACACTGACACATGTACATACACAGACACGTACATACACATACACATATACATACGACGGCTTCCAGTCCAAGTGACAGAGCTGGCCTGAGCTCCGAACCTGCTCAGCAAGACGGCCCTGGGGGCACACTTCCCCCCCACCATAATTTCCACTCGCCCATGCGAGCAGGCGAATGAAAATTTCAAGGCCTGGCCTAGGCTATAAGAAGATTGCCAAGACCCTGAAACTGAGCTGCAGCAAGGCCATACAGTGGTTTAACAGGACAGGTTCCACTCAGAACATGCCTCGCTATAGATCAGGGCTTACAATTTCGAGTCTAGACCTACTAGCCAGACACAAACCTTACTCTCCACCAGTTACCCCACCCAACATTGCCCAGGTCCGCCTCCAACCCCACCCCCGTTCCGTTCCCCAACCACGCCCCCTTAAAGCTTATGAAATTATATTTTTCTTTAGAATAAAGAGGCCAAAATATAAAAAATTGCAATTATAACATAGATTTATTATGGCAATTTAAACATAACAGCAATAGCTTAATAGCAACAGGGGGGTACAAAAAATCAAAATATCAAGTTTTACAGCTTTAAACCTGTAGTGAACATTTTGTATTTTTATTGTTTATCTCCTGCATCTTTAAAAAGAGACTTTAGTAACTAAAGTCTCTTTTAAAAGATGTAAGTTTAGTTTACAGAAGTATAGCATAAGAAAAAGTGCTTCTTTTGACGCCAAAAAACATGGAATAATAGTTACTGTAAACATGTTGAATTTTTTATCTCCAGCAGAGACCTTAGAGAAGTGTGGCATTAAGAAAAAATAAAAAAGTGCCTCTTTTGATGGCCAAAAAACATTGCATAAAATAAATAACAATAGTAAACATTTTGCTTTTTTTTATCTCCAGCATCTTATTAAAAGCTTAGAGAAGTAGTGCATTAGGAAAAAACAAAGTGCTTAATTAGAAAAAAAACATGGCATAACAATAGTAAACATTTTACCAAAGATGTGCTAATAGAGCAGCCATGGTTTGTGTTGTACAGCAGGACCAAGACTTGTGTAATACCCTTTTTCTGATGCAAAATACCACTTCAATGGCTGTGTGTGGATTGCATTCTATTCAATTAAGAAAAAAAAACACCAAAAAATAATTTTTTGGGATGACAAAAAGCAATAGGAAGCCAGTTTCACATAAAGATATGCAATGGTTTTCGTTGTACAGCAGGACCAAGACTTGTGTAATACCCTTTTGGAGAGGGTGTCTTCTCTCAGCGGAGGAGAGCGGACCTCTCCTGCACCTGTCCCCTCAGCGGCGCTGCTAGTGTAATGGCGGTGCCGAAGAAGCCGGAAACCGAAAGTTGTAAACCGGAACTCGGCTTCACAATGAGGTTTGGAGCGCAGGTGCAGCAGCTCCATCATCTGTGCTTGCTGCTCACCACACAAGAATTTCTCCTCGCATTTGGCGAGCGGGCGAGCGGCTTTTTCAAGCCCTGCTATAGACGACCAAAGAGGTTGAGTGCACGTGCTCAACGTCATATCCAGAGGTTGTCTTTGGGAAATATTCAACATATAGCACTATCCTTTCACAAAATAGAATCCCCACCAAGTTACTAATACAATCCTTCCCCTGAAGTACAAATAACATCAAAAAAATATAGTAAACTTGATTACCCTCTAATCAGTATTAGTGTATAAACATAAAGTCCAAAACCCAAAAAATGAAACAAAAACCATCCAAAAAAAAAAAACAAAAAAGTCCAAAATAGAGTCCCAAATTATTATTTCAAAAATCTTTATCTGTAATATCTTAATTCTTCATATCTTCCAAAATCTTTGTGATATACTTCAAACCAGATCTTCATATACCTCAAAGAAAAGAACTCAACATCTGTAATATCTTCAAAGAAAGGGGTATATAAAAAACGTGCCACACGTGTTTCATGCACATAAAAAATTAACGTGCCACCACAACCGTGAGAAAAGGAAAATCCCTCAGCCTTAGGAGTCAATCCACTGCATACCACTAGAGGAAGTGCATAGTTACCCTCAGAATGGTATCAAGGGTCTGAATACTTCTTTCCAACCTTTAAATATTCCTTCAGCCTTTCCAGCCACTTCCCACAGACCTCATAAACAGACCATGGATCAGTATGTATCATAAAACTTATAGCACTTTATTGTAGCAACTTACATTCAAATACGATGACATCAGCTTCAACATCACAAACGGTATGTTCACAATCCTGCCTCTCCTCATAAGTGTATAAATTCCACACTATCTCACTCCCGAGGGGAACCGATTGCCTGTGGTAAGTCCCCAGTACCTCAAATCCCCATGAGGATTCCAGGAAGCCACAGCCGCATGTACCAGGATCAAAAATGGCCGTCGCCGCACTTCCGGAAGAGCGTCACTACGTCACCACGTCACGTGCCCCGGACGCGTTTCGTCACATCCGGACTTTGTCAACAGGGATACGGACATGTCTCCTCATTCCCCTTAAGTACCAACCAGGGCGGGGAAATAATTGCCGCGGCCATCTTACATCCTGGGACACTGGATATCTCCTCACTCACTTATATAAGGCATATCAGGGCCAGTGAGACGGAACACAGAGAAGCCATTATCCAAAACGGCAAAAATGTCACCAGCACACCCTCTAATATATAGACCGCATTTTCCACCAAAACATCATAATACTTCATAGAACTTATGTCAACAGTAAGGGTCCGATGATAAACCCATATACAAACAATTATTATAAAATATCTGGATTAAAAATTATTATATAAATTAAAATATGTTCCCTCCCAACCCCAATATGCATGTAAACAAATATATCCTCTTTTAAAATATATTCCACCCCCTAAAATTCATCTAAAATTAATAAAAAATATTAATACTAAGTAATCCTAAATAATACAAAGATAATCTGAATAAAATAAACTAAAAAAAATTTTTTTTTTTTTTTTTTTTCCCCCGTTATATCGAGCATTCAATTACTGGTCAGAAATAAAACAATTTAGGTCTAATTCAATATTAAGACCCTTGGGTTTTAGAGTATTCAGCCTATAAATCCAAAAGGTTTCATTTTTGGATATCTCCTGTACCCTATTGCACCCCCTCCAATGGGATTCCAGGACATCGATACCACAAAATTTTATAAGGCTCGGATCCGAACCATGAAACTCACAAAAATGTTTGGATACATTCTAATAGATAAGTCACATATTTAAGTGTTCTTGCATAGCAAGGAACACTTATTGTTATCTCACATATATATTCTTATTCTTATTCTTATTATAGCCATATTTGCCACGCTAACTCCTCCCACAGTTTTTACACGTGATACAAGTAATATATCAAAACGTGCGGATTGTTCCCGATCGGATTGCTATTACTTTGTGGAACGTTTCGCCGAATCGTTCAAGAAATATCGCGGTTTTTGCGGCAAAATTTTCCCATAGGAATGCATTGAGCAGCAGAGCACAGCTAGAGTGTGCAAAGGAAAAATCTGAAAAATCAGAACATGATTTGTAAACTGCCATCACTCTGCCATTTTCAAGCCCACCTACACATATCTTATATCAAAACGTTCAGCTAACCCTGCTGTCACTAAAAATGTTCACGGCTAGGACATACTCCTGATAGTTTTCACAATATGACCATTTGTTTGGACCTCACCCCTCCCATTGACTTTCATTGAAACTCCACTTTAGACACAAGAAATTTTAAGGGACGTTTTTAAACTGCGACTGTGCCTTCATTTTTTATCTTTCAGAGACATACTATACATCAAAATTTAGGTCTGTTTCTTGTGATTGTCACAATATAAACCTTTTCACGGTAGCATTTATACTTTTAAAACTACAAGCGTTTGAAAATGGCAATCGCCAGTGAATTTGGCAAGTTTAAACAGCCTGTTTAGAGCAGAGCTTCTCACACACCTGTGACTGACTGAGGTAACAGGTGCAACCAAAGGTCACTCAGGGGGCAGCTGAGTCACATTAGAGTGAGAAGTGAGAAAGCTGCAGTGTGGAAGGAAAAATCAGAACATGATTTGTAAACTGCCATCACTATGTCATTTTCAAGCCCACCTACACATATCTTATATCAAAACGTTCAGCTAACCCTGCTGTCACTAAAAATGTTCACGAATGCCAGTAGTGTACCGCGCTCCAATATATTCTACCTTATGTGATATAATGAATTCATAAGTGTACCACCAATAATCAAATAATTACATCAATTAATTATACTTAAATATATGATTTGTGTAAATATATAAAATAAATTAATTTATCAATGTGAAAAAACAAAAACTATGAATGAAAAATATAAATAAAAAATAAAAAATATTTGCAGTGGGAATGACAGTTCCTTCTGTATAAATGAGATGGTGTTATTATTCAGTCTGGATAAAAATAAAAATAAAATAAAAAATAAAAATAAAACATAAAAAATAAAATAAAATTAAAAATAAAATAAAAATAAACATAAACATAAAAATAAAATAAAAATAAAAATAAAATTAAAATAAAATTAAAAATAAAAAAATAAACATAAACATAAACATAAAATAAAAAAAAATAAAAATAAACATAAAAAATAAAATTAAAATTAAAATAAAAATAAAATAAAAAATAAAATAAAAATAAAAATAAAATAAAAATAAAATGAAAAAAAAAATAAAAAAAAAAAAATAAATAAATAAATAAAAAAAAAATAAATAAAATAAAATAAAATAAATAAAAATAAAAATAAAAAAAAAATAAACATAAAATAAAAAATAAAATAAAATAAAAAAATAAAATAAACATAAACATAAAATAAAAAAAAATAAAAATAAAATTAAAAATAAAATTAAAAATAAAAATAATATTAAAATTAAAAATAAAAATAAAGTTAAAATAAAATTAAAATTAAAAAGAAAATAAAAAAAATAAAAATAAATAATTGATATCCCGGATAAGACACTATGTTTCTTTTCCCTTCTCTGTATGTTCCATATATGGAGGACTAAGCCAAGCAGCCAGTGGAGAAAGTCTCACTGAGAAGGCTGTGCTGAGGAGAGAGGAGAGAGGAGAGAGAGGTTCACGCAGTGGACACAGACTCATCACACTATCCAGACTGAATAATAACACCATCTCATTTATACAGAAGGAACTGTCATTCCCACTGCAAATTTTTTTATTTTTTATTTATATTTTTCATTCATAGTTTTTTTGTTTTTTCACATTGATAAATTAATTTATTTTATATATTTACACAAATCATATATTTAAGTATAATTAATTGATGTAATTATTTGATTATCGGTGGTACACTTATGAATTTCATTATATCACATAAGGTAGAATATATTGGAGCGCGGTACACTACTGGCATTTATGATTAATATTTATACACCTAGAGAGGGTGCGATTAGTACCTGGCGATCTAATATTTAATTAATACTAATTTCAGCACGCAATTAATTAATTAATTCGTAATTAATTTGTAATATTTTATTATTTATATATTTTTCACATATATTTTTTTTATATTTCTTAAGTATGATATCAATTAACAATAGAGTTTATATATAGAAAGAAAACTCCTAGTGGCTCACAAGTAACTATCCAACTTTTTATAAAAATGTTCACGGCTAGGACATACTCCTGATAGTTTTCACAATATGACCATTTGTTTGCACCTCACCCCTCCCATTGACTTTCATTGAAACTCCACTCTAGACACCAGAAATTTTAAGGGACGTTTTTAAACTGCGACTGTGCCTTCATTTTTTATCTTTCAGAGGCATACTATACATCATCAAAATTTAGGTCCGTTTCTTGTGATTGTCACAATATAAACCTTTTTCATGGTAGCATTTATACTTTTAAAACTACAAGCGTGTGAAAATGGCAATCGCCAGTGAACTTGGCAAGTTTAAAAAGCCTGTTTAGAACAGACATGCTGACATTCCTCTCAGAGTGAGTTGTCATAGCAACCCAGCTGTCTCAGCACAGTGAGCCTACTCCGCCCACTCCAGGTGCAGCAACCAAAGGTCACTCAAGAGGCAGATGACTCACCAGGCTGGACTGTGAGCTTCAAAATACAAGCTGAAATGCATTTCTCACTATCAGGCTTGCAATGTGCACTGCTTACATTTCATCAATCATTTGGTAAAGGTTGCGGCAAGAACACTTTACACAATTTCCCCAGAAATTGTAGATTTTCTTGTTCATATTGCAAGTAATAAATTTATTAATTACAAAAGATTCTCCCGTCACGCAAGATGTAAATGTTGTGATTTTCCTCTCTTTTATACCTGTGATTTTACAAATTTTACACTTTTTACAAGGAAAAAAACCTTGGAGTCCGAACATCTTCGGCTTCCTAGGGGGGAGAGATCACCCCTTTTACCAATAAATTTCGCAGATTCTCACTTTTTCTATAGATAAAACAAGAGAATCTTTTGTAATTAATAAATTTATTACTTGCAATATGAAATATGTGA